TTACCTTCAAGCCTTTAAGACCCCAGACACTATATCTTTTGATAGCCGGGCACCATCAGCTTTCTTCACCACATTTGCTTATGCACCCATTGTCACATTTGAAGATTTTAAGGAACTGTAAATATGTCACAATCATCAACAGCTTTCAATTTCTTAATACAAAACTACTTAATGGTCTTCATTTTTTGCTAAGAAGAAAGCATAAATTATTTTCTTCAAAATATGTCTCAGGTACAAAATGGCGGCATAGAAGAAATATAAAAATCACAGACAGATGCTCTTGGAAGTCTTCATAGGAATCTGGCCCTTTGGACTCCAAAGCAACTACAGCATCAAAAGTCCTTGCTGACAAAGTATTTACAGAAAGAGTATTAGACTTTCTTAGCACCCATTTCTATTCTGAGTACTCTTTCTAGATAACTACCTAGATGTAGCGCTCGCGCTCTCTCTCTCTCTCTCTGTAAAAAATAAAGTCTATAAAATTGTTGTGAGGATGAGTTAATCTAATAGGAATTAGATTTCAAATAGGCAGTACATATGTCACAACTTGTTACTGACTTTCTTTTTTCCCTCAGTCAGGAAATGGTTCCTTTCTCCTCTCAATTCCTTTACCCTCCGACTTCCATTTCTTTAGAGACAGAACAATTCTTTTTAAAGGCAAACCCAAAAAATAATAAGACTTTGTATCTAATATCCAATACCGTGGTCAATTCATTTCCAAGCCTCTTAAAGAGCTCCCCGTCCACCCCCCACTTTTTTTTACTTTTCCTAAACATTAAGCTCTAAACTTACTCACACATGGGATTAGCGTGAGTCATAATTGACTCAAATTGACTCAAGAACTTTCTAATACTCATGATGACATGTGGATTTCAAAGGCGTTTCATTTCCCAAATTAACCAGTGCAATTACGCAGGATTAGGTTGAGAATGTTACAACCTTCAGTACTTGGCCTCTTGATGTCCCATTTGACCTAGTTTTCATTCCAGGCTTAAATTTACTTTCAGCTGCTCATCCCTTCATCTGATCAGACAGCAACTAAACTTGCCTGCTCAGGATGCAACATATTTCCATTAAGGATCTTCTGAAATTAATCTACTTAAAGGTCTGGTCCTCACACACACAAAAAAATGCATCTAAAAGAAAGGACTTGCCCAACAATCCCTCCAATGGGTCGATATACAAAACCATACTTTGCTACTGGCTTTTTCTGAGATGGATTTTAAGTATTTCTGAATATGAGGTTCAGTGGAGCCAATATTTCCTAACCTATTAAACAATAACCAATATCCATTGATTGAGAATATCTTTCTTCTTAACAGCAGGGAGGGAACAAATGGCACCAGCAACTATTAAATAACAATCATAAAAATGATTCTAGCAGTGAGGGAAATTGAAAGGACCTAATTGGTGAAACTTTTCCCCAAACATAAAATGTCAATTAGCCAGGAGGGGAAGGGGAAGGTGGGAGGAGAAAGAGGAAACCGATCACAATGATCTACCTATACCCTCCTCCCAGGGGGATGGACAACAGAAAAGTGAGTGAAGGGAGACATCAGTCAGTGTAAGACATGGAAAAAAAAAAATCTATAAATTATCAAGGGTTCAGGAGGGAGGGTTGGAAGGGGAAAATGAGGAGCTGATACCAAGGGCTCAAGTAGATAGAAAATGTTTTGAAAATGATGATGGCAACAAATGTACAAATGGGCTTGACACAACGAATGGATGGATAGGTTGTGATAAGAGTTGTATGCGCCCCCAATAAAATGATTTATTTTTTAAAATGAAATAAAAATAAAATCCCAGTTATGCGATAAAAATAAATAAAATGGCAATTAGCAAAATGTAAAATTTTAATTACAGCCTCTGTCACAGAAATAAAGTAAATAACTGCCAAAATTATACCTTTCATAATTAAAGTTATAAATATCACCTGCTGCCACTTTTAAACGAGCATGCAAATTGGAAGTATCGATCAGGCCAAAATTAGAAATGGGACTTCTCTGTTCCTTCACAAAGGTAACCTGTCTATAAAACGTGATTCTACAGTAGTTCAGTAACAACATGCTGGTTAATCCTGGGAAAATATTTTAGCAGTAGTAGTAGTACACAACGTCCTCGTTTTGACAACCATTTATTTAGGGCTTTCTTGATCAACTTAGCAATTATTTCTCCAAAAAAAATTACTTGATCAGTCTTGTGTAACAAGAAAATGTGTTAACTTGTGGTAATTTAGGATATCCAAGAAGAAAAGGATACATTTTATTTTTATTGTTGCTCTATCAGCAAATATATTTTTACTCATGCCTTATCATTTTAATGAGAGCCCTGAGGCATAGTGGTTGTGCATTAGGCTGCTAATCACCAGATCAGCAGTTCAAAACTATCAGCCGCTCCTCGGAAGAAAGAGGAGGCTTTCTACTTCCGTGAAGAGTTACAAACCTTTGAATTGTGTGTTGTGAATTACATGCTTTTAAAAAGTAAAGAGTTACAGTCTTGGGAACCCTCCTATCCTGTCCCAGAGAGTCACGATGAGACGGAATCGACTCTCGGGCTTGTATTGCTGGAGTTAGGTGCCCCCCAATCTGCAAGGAACCCACGAGGGTGCAGAAGCTGCCTCCCCAATCACTTCAGTTCCCAAAGATAGCCTGAAGCCTTCCTAAAGTCCACAGAAGTGGTCAACCAACTGCAAATTGCTGTGCGAACGTTTAATAGTATCAGTTATTCATAACTTGGCGGTGTTTTGTTTGCCAATAAGCAGCTTAATCTTCAGGATTGCAAAGCAAGTTATTAAAATTTCGCAATCATCTTTTCAAAGTTTTTTTTTATGATTTGCTTTTCCTAAGCGATAGTAAGAGAACTTGCCCTCAATTCATCAGTGTGTGTGTCCTCAGATTTCTAATCTCCTAGACTTTAATTGATCAGTGATTATTACTCGGGAGAGTCCTGGGCTTATCAAATGATGGTGAGGGGATAGATCTGAAGTTTGGGGCGTTGGGTAACCCTTACAGGACGATCACACTCCAACCCCCCACCACCTCTCTGCTCCCATCCCCAGAAAAACAGGGTCTCCCTCCTTTTCAGAACTAATTCTCTTCCTGCGTGCCAGTGCGGCCCCATTTCAAAGAGGAACAGAAAAGTCTCTGTCCAGTGCCGGGTCCGCGGGCACGTGGTCTGTGGCTCCCAGGAGCCCGGTCAGCGCCCTCGGGCGCTGCCCGCTCCAAGCCCGGTCTGGACCCCTCGCCCGCCCCAGCAGCAGCAGGCGCTCACCATTGTGCTCG